GAGTTAGACTATCGGCCCACCGGGACAAGTCCCGGTATCCCGATAGGCCAATCCGCCCCTGAATATGTTCCTGTGTAAGAATCTGCTGTGTGTTCCCTCTTAGATGTGCTGATTTTTACAGAAGAATAAACTGCTTACATGTTACAAGCCAGGCAGTAAAACCATAAAATAAAAATAAAATTGATATAAAAAGTTTAACAGTTGAAATTGCATTGATCGTTAATTGAATATTTGGTGACAAATGTTGCATTCAAAAAAAAAAAAAATAATGAGTTTATTTTATTTCATTGTGCATTAATGACTTAGCCACAGTTAGTGTTAAGGTAAAGAAAACAACAGATAGATTATAACATTTTACCTTTAAAAACTTTTGATAGCCATTTAGGAGGTTATATAGGTTAAGCAAATTAAATATGAAACTGTAAGATAAAAAATAGTATTTTTATTCACCTTGCATTCATATTAACTCAGTCAAGGTTTCATAAATTCACACACATCTTTAGTGAAAATACTTTATCAATAAAAAATCTGATTTTTGTGTACAATGTACTTGTAGTTTTTACTAAAAGCTTGCCACATTTCATGAAGATACACTTGGCAAATTCAGAGTTATTGTTATATACAGCCTCATGGTTACATAGCGGTTATGAGGTCAGTCAAATTTACTGAGCCCATATGCATGAAGTTAATACACAGGGAGAGATATTCAATAATGAACTCAAAAGATCAGCTATTAAAATTAAACATTTGTTTAAAACAAGTTTGCTGAAAGGTTTTTTCATGTTTTTTATTAAAGAACATGTCCATGTTGCATAGATCTGTTGAGTTCACAGTGAGGTATCTCTTCACATAGTTAGTAGAAAACTTATCAACATTTGAAAACTTTTGGAGCATATCCAGTATAGCAAGTCATGTTTCAATAGTTTGTAACAGAGAAATTATGTCCACTTATTTCAAGCTTATAAGTACATCTCAAAATAAGCAATAAGCAACTCTGGATGATAGGAAGTTTTTTAATAGCTTACCAAAAGTTTGTCTGAGCCAAAAAGATTAAGGTTTCTTATTGTTATTAAAATTGTAATGTAATTGTCTAAAACTACTTTGGTGAGATACATATATATACTGACACAGTTATAGACCAGCATGAGTAGAGAGTGTTCTGATATAAACCTTTATGAAATAATTGATAGAGGTTATGCCACAAAGTAGGCAGTGACTGGAGTATTAACCTGTTTGCCAATTGTGTGTGTATGAAAGTTTTGTCCAATTCATCATATTTTTTCATATTATAAAACTCATTATATTGTCTACTTAATTGTAAAATCCTAAATGTTTAAGACCTAGAAAAAATTTATACATATAATTTAAGAACAGCAAGAGACCTGTTGGTCTGTCTGAGCCATCCCATACACTAAACTAAACTTTAAGATAAAAAGAAAATACTGAACATAGTCCTTATTATTCAACTCATCTCTTAAACTCCCATAAATTAACTGCATCCACCATACATGAAGGCAACCCATTCCAAAGGCCTCTTAGAAAAATATAGCTGTCTTAGCTGAAGATGACTTTTACCCCGCCAAAATTTATATTTGTGTCCCATAATCCTACCATTATCACCATTAAGTGTGCACCAACAATTCTCTTAGCAATCTTAAACACATCAATCAGATTTCCTCTAACTCTTCTTTTTTCAAAAGAAAACAATTTCAGAGGTTTTAACTTTTCATATGACAACTTTTTCATCCCTGGTATCATCTTAGTAGCCCTCCTCTGGACCATTTCCAACAATTCAGTGTTCTTCTTAAGTTAAGAAGCCCAAGACTGAACATAATACTCCAAATGTGGCCTAACTAGTGACCTATACCATGAAATTATAACCCGTTTATACTTGTATTTAATACTTCTTTAATACAACCTAAAGTTCTATTTGTCTTGCCATTAGCAACAATACATTGCTTGGATGGCTTAAGAGACTGATCAACTAGAATGCTAAGATCCTTTTCTTCCCTACCACTGTTGAGGTTGTTCCCATCAAAATTATACTTTAATTATAATTTAAATGTGATATTTCCACATGCAAAACTTTGCCTGTATTATAATTAAAAGTCATCTTCTATTTGTTTAACTTACTGAATAATCCAACTCCTTTTGTAAAGCAGCAACATCCTTCACACAGCCAAAATTTCAATATCATCACCAAATTTAAATAATTCATTAACCATTTCTCATCTATATCATTGATGTATATCAAAAGAGCAAAGGTCTTAATGCTGAACCTTGATGCATTCTACTTGTGACAATAATCCAGTTTGACTGAACTCCATTTATAACAAGTCTCTGTTTTATTTTATCCAGCCAGTTTTTTTAACCAGTGATCAATCTATCCCCCCATAAATAGAGAGGGAATTTATTTAGTAAGCCTTTTATGTGACACCATGTTAAGTGCTATCTGAAAATTTACACCCATATCCTCATCCACATAAGCAGTTCCCTCTTCGAACAATGTTGAAAAATTAGTAAGGCAAGATTTTCCCCTAATGAAACCATACTGACCATTCAACAAAATTTTAAACTTTGTTAAATGGCTTTGCACAGTGTCTTTTATCAGACTTTCAAAAACATTTTCCCACCACTGATATAAGCTTAATAGGCCTATAATTACTGAGACAATTTTAATCAACTTTCTTGAAATAACCAACTACCAATCTTCTGGTGCCTTCCCACTATCCAAGGACTTACAAGAAATAGTAGCAAGTGGCTTACGATTCAATCCTTAACCTCACAGCCAGCAACACTCAAAATTTTAATATAAGTTACAAATTTAAATAAGTTATTGATCATTCCTTCATCTATGTATTTGTTTTGGTATGGATAATAATGCGTAAAATAATTTCTCCATAATTTTTATTATTTATTAAGTTGTAATGATTACATTTAATATTGATGAAATTAAAGTATTAGCAAAAACTAGCAAACTAATTTTTTTTAGAGATGTGGCAGTTGTATTTTTAATTTTCCATACCTTAAAAAACAGCATTCTCTAACTAAAATCACCTTTAGACTTGTTAGTTGAACTTCAATACAATTAGTTTTGCTTAGCTAAAAATAATGTTGAATGTAATTCATAAGTATGTATGAAAAACTTTGTTTCATTTTCAGAATGGAAGATCATCATCTATCACTGAAATAATAACAGGTGATCTCATTTCTGCAGCAGGAGATTCTAACTAATACAACCATAATCAGTTTACATCTGGAGAAAAAATGTAGCAGCATTCTAAAAAAAACTTACTGTGAATTTATATTGGATAAAATGACCATATTCAGGCTGTGAGGCCGATTCTGTAAATAAAAAGAATATTTTAATATCACTCACCTTCATTACTGTGGGTGCTTTGCAGTTCATGCAGCACCACATTACTGTTTAGTATTTGTCTGTATTTTCTCTAAGTATATACTTTTTCTTTTGTATTTCATCCAGAAATCATAATATAGATTTTAAGTGTTAGAGTTATTGCTACTTGTTTAATATTTAATGATTGAAAAGCTTTGAACAAGAACGAAATATAGAACATAAAGTTTAATACATTAGCAAATTTAAAGTAGGCATAGCTCACATTAGGACTAATGCACTTTTTCTCATCCACCCTGAAGTGTTACTTTTCTTTGGGCTAGATTCATCATCTGAAAGAATGTGTAATATAAATTCTAGGGGTAATTCATTGAATATGTGCACAAAGTACTCAACGATTTGAGTGTTTCATATGCACTTTTTTTTAAAAATATTTCTGTAGTTTGTACATATTTACATTTACACATCTCCCAATATACACCCCACTAAATAAAGTATCTTTCCCACTCTCAGTATTTCTTTTCTAGTTTGCACTACCAATATTTGAATATGATAATTTGTAAGAATGAGTTGTAAATGTACAATATTTAATTAAAAAATACTTAACATTGCTCAATTAGAAACTGCAAAATGGTTTATACAATGGAGACAAAACAAAAAAAGGGTTGAAGAATAATATAAAGTAATAAAGGTTCAATTGAAAAATTCCTGGTTGTCAGTTCTAAATAACTTTTGTGATACGTAACTAGTTTTAATGGTTCCATTATTATGAGTGAGGTTATCATTGCACTTGCGTATATTTAACACTAAAATAAGGAATACCTAATAGCTGGTGCTATGGAAAATGTGTTTTTTTGGAAGTATAAATTGTTTGTCAAACTTGTTGAAACTTTCATGTAACTTGTTGAACCTTAGCTGTATATACTGAAGTAAAGGTCCACTATACTTTTTACAAGCATGTAGTGCACATTGTCCAAGTGAAGCACAGATTATGTAATAATGCAAAAAAATAATATATCTAAACTATCTTGTTATATTCTTGTTCTAACATGTGTTAATTGGTGCTTGTGAATGCATTAAATATCCCCATTTACTTGTCACACCTGGGTATATAAATATTTAATGCATTCAATTTAATAAGTATTTTATCTCATAAGTACTTTCAAGTTAAATAATATATTATGATCTTAAAGGTAAGTTAAAACTAAAACTAGGTTAGAAATTTAATTTAAAGCATTATTAGTTTAAAAGTGCTTGCTAATTGATCTCCATTAAGGAATTTAAATTTCTTTAGTATTTATATCCCATATGTATGTGACAATGGTCGATTTAACACAGTCACTGTGTACCTTATAGCATATAATTTTGTCACCATATTTCAGATTGAACTAATGTTTTTGAATAAAAGAAAAAATAGTATTAGTAGCTGTAAAATGTAGCATTTCTTGCTCAAACTGATGCTTAAGTTACATATCAAGAATAATTAGGAACTTTAAACTCAAAAATGCTTTAAATTTTTTAGGATCAGGATAGTGGTTTAATAGGTGAATTAATATTTTAAAAGTATTATGAAGATTTATTTATTTAGGTGAGGAAATTACAGAATGTATAAGAAAAATAAGGTGAAACACCAACCAAACTAAAGTTTATTGATTAATATGAAAACAACATTTCAGGCAACAGCCCTTCATTGAGTTTCCAGTGAGGAGAAAATGTCTTTTAGAAAAGATAAACCATAAGAAAAAAAAATGATGCATTGCCCAAAAACTTGAGAACATGTTCTTAAGCTAAAATAGAAGAAAAATATGAGAAGTAAGATAAATTAAATAGTTGAATAAAGTTAGAAGAAATAAAAAAATGTGATAAAAACATTACATTAGAGTAATGACATAATAAGGTATTAACAAATTAGATATCACCATTTACTTGTGACACCTGGGTATATACATTATATTGTAAGGCTTGCTCTTAATACCTGTTACATGAGTAGTATTGTCCAGCAAGATACAGAAGTATTATAGAAATTGAATATAAATGGACAGTAAATTTGGTGATGTGATTTATAAACAAAAAAGAAAGGCAACACATTTGGTTAATATAACAAAATTAAGTGGTCTATCTAGTGAACAGATTCATTGAAAATACATTTTAAACAAAAAAGATTATTATGAGAAAGTATAGATCAGATGGAAAGTGGAAAGGTAGGGAAAAAAAAAGTGGATAAAATTAAAGGAATGAAAAATTCTTGATTCATTCCAAGGGATTTAATAGTGCCTTATTTAAAAACTAAACATTTTTACAGGCATTCTTTCAAAAATTATTTTGGTCTTCATTCCTACTTAACACTGGCTTTTACATTATTTGCATTACTATTTACATTTTTAAAGATATTTTTGTATTTTAAATGTCAAAACATTCCCTATGTTTTTCAATACCAAAGTGTTACAATACATTTATGAAATAAAACTGATTAACTTCTAAAATATATTACTGTAACAAGAACATAAAGGAAACAAGATAAGACACTCACCATATCAAAAAACGTTTATTGAGAAATATGGAAACAATGTTTTGGCCAACAGCCCTTTATCGGGTTTCTAGGGAGAAGAAAATGGCTTTTAGATGATATAGGGTACAAAGTAAACAAATATATTCTTAAGCTGAAGCAAAGAAAAGTATGAGATATAAAAAAAATTAATTAGTAGAGTAATTACAGACACCAAACCTCAGTGCAAGCTCAAATACATCTTGTTGTTACAGAAAAAAATGTCACCTGCCAATATGTTAGCACCACAATATCCATATGTGGCTTTAATGGGAAATTCCAAATACAACAGTCATTCATGTCCTTTCAACAAGCTTGATATTTGTGTGATTGGTCTACAAAAGATATGATATGCTATTCATTGGTCAAACTGGTTGCCACATATGAGATCATTCACATTAACATCTCTCCGAACAAGAAACAATTACACTACAAAATCCACGGGTACACACTTCAGTAAGTGTTGACACTACATCTTCTTTATAATTGGACTCAAATTTGCTCTTCTACTGTAACAGAGTCTGTATGGTACACAAACTAGTGGGTGGATGTAGTCAGTATAGTGATATATGTACAATTCTTTTAATATCCAAACTCGTATTAGTGGCTGTTGTACACAATTATTTTTCCTACTAATTTATACAATTTATAAATAATGAATATTAGAATCTCCTGCTTATTTTACTCCCTTTATGTTTATTGTCGGTGTAGGTGAAATAATTTTGCATGCGTCATTCACACATTGCTGTAGTAAATTTTATCGAGAGGTTGTGTAAACTTTCACCATCAGCGTGATTTTTTCATCACACCTTTCTGTTCAGGCTTTCTTTACATACATAGCTTTCAACTCGTTAAACTAAACATTTTGTGCTGTTAGTCATTTCTACAAGATCTTCTCAAGGCTTGATTTCACTGTTGAATTTTCCAGGATATAAAATTACAAACTTCCTGGATGTAATTAAACACAAAAAATTTTACAATTTTATATTTTATTCTAGATATCTATTTTAATTTCTCAATGTCAAAACTTTTACATTATAAGGCTTGCTCTTAATACCTGTTGTGTGACTCATAGTTCATGGCATGTTACATCATTGCCTGGCCACTCGCTCTCACCATCTTTCATGCATTGCAACCCTGATGAGACACTTGCAATGAAATCACAAAATCTGTTATTGCTTCTGTTTTAGTTTGTCTTTGCTTATGAAAAGATATCATCATAACAGAGGGGTTGTAAATGTGCTGTGGCTGTTTATTCTAATTTTGATAAACACAGTAACATTAGTTTTCATAGATTTCCCATGAAAGATGAACATTTGCTTAAAATTTGGGCTTATAGATGCAAAAGAATAGACAAATTTGATATATCCTGTGTTTGGATCTCTTTAGTATTTGGTTGAAAAAGCAAACCAAGATTAAAGGTAGGTGCCATTCCTTCTCATTGTTTACTGCCGTCATCAAGTACAAGAAATGGAAGTGATAATGAAATGTTGCCAAATGAAAGTGCAGTGAGAATGCAAAAACAACAAAAGAAAAAGCTCATAAATGATACTATTTGGTTCAACATTCCTGGTATTTAAATCAAAACAATTTAGTGATGGAACTTGAAGCTACCATTGAAAAGCACAGAAAGGTGATAAATGAAGAAGACAAGAAAATAGTTGCTTTAAGAGCAAGAATATTTTGTTGCAGAAGAAAAGAAGAAAGATTCAAACAAGGTATCAAGAACCCAGCAAAAAGATCCAGAAACTGATAAATTAAGGTAAAAATAGCCTACATCAGTTATCTAATATTTCAGTTAGATTTCTTATCTAAACACTAAGTAGTTTAATATATCACAATGCAAGTCAAAGCAACATGCTAGGTATGACGTTTAAAGATGCATAATTTAAATTTTATAACACGAGGTGCATGAAATTGATGGATGCTTGGTTCTTTCACGAAATGATTACTTTAGCATTCTTTGTCACTGTATATCCTTTAATACTAACATGTTCTAAAATTTAAATCTGTTTGTGACCTTCAACGTGTTCTTTAATCTTTAGGAAGGCTTCCTAGTGCCTGTTACTTTCTTGGATCTTCTGTCCAGAATAATGAAACTATTATATTACATATTGATTTCCTTGTAGTGCAAACATTGCATTTAACCATAACTTACTGTTTTAGTATTCAAAAGTTTAAACATTTGCTGCTATGAGCAGTTGTTGCACTTCATGCATGCAAAGTGGCTAGGTGGTGATGTCATCTTCCATTAGCCTATCACAGTGTAAATATCATTTGAGCTAGACTTGTAATATAAGATTAATTTTTTTTAAATGAACTAGTTGTTTGTAGTTCTAATACATGAATAGTTCTGTTATTCTATGCTTAGTACTCAATGCAGCCAAAATGTATTATTATTGTCACTGGTTTTAATGGTTTAAATTTCTGTTTACATATATTTGCTGTCAGTTACTGCCTACTTTTTAGAATAACAAACATTAAAGGTTAGTCAACTTAGAATTTTAATGTTACATTTTGATGTATAAAAAACTATTTTTATGTGTGCTTTATAATGTTAAAATATTCAAATATGTGATGCTGATGATGCAAAGGCTTAGTAACTTATTGCAACTTAATCATTCTTAATTCTTAAAAGATAAACGTCAACATTAATAAATGTTTTATTTTAGTTCCTCTTATTTTTAGATAATATTCTTTAAAAATATACATAACATACAAGTACCCTAAGCAATGCATAAACTTGTACAGCATGTTTCTAATTCTTCTGAAGACTCTTTGATCTTGCAGTTTATTGGCTCTGTTTAAACATGGCTTTTGAGGAACTTGTAATAGCCTTCCAGTTCTCCAAGTACAAATTGTAGCCTTGTTAATTTGTTAGACAATCTTTAGTTTTGTTTCTGAAAAATTCATATACTGCTTTAACTACCAACCTTATGTATGTATTTATACAAATAAATATTTGGTTTTCGTAACAGATTTTGTTGATCAATATAAGGAAATGTTACATAAAAACATCAGTCTGAAGAGAAAACTGAAGTGAAAATGTACAAGGTAACAATGCACATATCATGACTTAATAAAAGCTTATGTTTTCATTTTACAAGTCACTCCACTAACATGTAAAAAATTCCAAGTGTTAAAAGTCTTAAATGTCTACAGGAAATATGCAAAAGTGAATTAATCATCTTTATTTTACAATTAACAATATATTTAAATATAGTACTGTCATTATGTGAAAACCTTTTGGTTCACTTTATAGCCTTAAAGAATGGTTACTGTCCACTTTGGCAAATATTAAGTAGTTTTCAACATAGTTTTTATACAACAAATAGCTTCAGTTAGTTCTTTGTAATCATAAATTGTATGATATTGTGAAAAATATAGTTTTATTAAAGGATTGTTTCATTCCAGTTGCATTTGTAAAACTTTTTTATTGCTAATTTAACATTTTAAGCGTACGAATTGTCGTAACAGTTAGATAGCATGCACAATAATAAAATCAAGCTTGTGAACACACACATGTTATTATCTGTATAACCAATCATGTAATTACACCTTCACATGAATTTTGTTGGCTGTCATGCTCACAAAGCATCTGTCTAATGTTACCATCATGAGGAAAATTACCTCAAGGTTGTGTAACGATGTTGAATATAACAGTAGTTTTAAAGTCTTATTTTTGTGCAGATCAATGCAGTATTACATCAGTGTATTTATGTTGTGTTAAATGTATTGAACAAATTCAGTTAAAATTGTAAAAAATCCAGTTGTTTGTACTTTACCTATTTTATAATACTTAGTCTTTTAGCTAGAAAGGTGATTTTCATTTATTTTATAATTGTATCTGAAAAAATACACTAATAGAGAAAACTTAAGACAAATTACTACTGTTTAATAAAAGACTTGGCTCATATTTGTTATATATTTACTATGGTAACTGTTTTCTGTATTAGATGTAGATATATTCAAATTTATTTTCTTAGTACATGCAAAATCATTAAAAGTTCAGAAGTGCACGTATCAAACAAGTAGCTTCTGTGTATACAAAGGTTGAGTATGTTACATTACAAAGATTTTGGAAGCCTCAACACGTTACCATGTCTGGTCATGCTTTATCTGATTACCATGCATTTTGACAGTAACCCTGCAGCTTAGTTTCCATTCAAGGAAAACAGAGTTCCGTCTAAAAACGGATTTCTGTTAAATGGAAATAAAATAAGATTTAACTTGGTAAAATAATAAAACCGACTTCTTAATTTCAATACCCGAAACTACAGAACGAACAGCTACTACAAATATATCCTTACTTTGAAAGATGAACTTTCACCGATATACAACTTTGGAAATACTCTAGACCAGCATGTATATATTAATAACGTAGTTGATCGGCGGTTTTCCGAAGTGAAGTATGCATCATGTCCTGGCGGACATATGTTGTTATTGAACATGAGATTTTCATAGGTGTTTTATGCACAATTTAGCGATGATCCATTCAAAGTAATTCCTGTATAGTCATGAAAGTAATCAAACTATTTGTCTATAATAGACCTAAACTTGTGAGTGACTTAGCCTATAACAACGTTTATTACATCTCATCAGCCAAAGTATTGCTTTCATGAAGTTGATACCTTAATTGATGTATATGATAATTTAAGAACACGTTCTCTAAGCAATGGGCTCCAGATAATGACTCTTATTGCATTTCAGTGTAAAAGCTCACCTCTCCTATATCTCCTTCCTGAGTGTTTTCAACTTCTCTCTACTACTGTCCCTGTCCATTGCAAAAAGCTCCATCATAAAACTTTCATGTTCAAAGCACACCACTCCTCCCTATTAGCTTTCCATAATCTATCTATTGTAAGAAGACACTGGTCTCTCAGCATCTGTCTGTACAGTTTGACCAAATGGAAATCCATAGGTGCTGTGTCCATTGGCTTGATCGGCGTACGTTATTGAATAGCATGAATCCCCATTTCATTCTCGAGCTTTTTGAAGTATGCAACAGTAGAGCGGGAATATAGTAAAACCAATTTGTGTACCTGTCACTTTTCCAGATGAAAATCCTTGATTATGCTGTATACAGATGCCTGGGACACATAAATGGCAGATTAAGAGTTGAACGCTCTAACCACCAATTACAAAAAGATAAAGACAAATGGAGTTACAGGGAAGGGATACCTATGTTAGAAGTAACTGAACTGTTCACGGCTATTATTTGTGTTCCTTCTATTATTCTGTAAACCAGCAGATTTGAGATAATTTTGCTGCTTGTCTTATGGCCACTCAGGCCAAATCAAATCATCATAAAATATTTGGTGGTGTAGTACTATCTGTTGCAGCTTTTCATCACATGGGATTGCATTTCCAGCAGAGCCACAGCAGTTATCATTGTAGGTTTCTTTTGCCCCTGCAACTTGGTTGAAGTTACATTCATATGATTTGTCAAGGAAATGGCTTCAGTTAAAGTGATAATGTCTCTAAAATTGAAGTAATGTTACACAGATTCACTAATGAGCCCCACCATGAACTTATTGGCAAAGATATCCTGTTGGTCTGCTGTCACCATGCTAGGACTAAATTTACTGCGTAAGCATTGCAGTTCACTGGCATCTGCAGCTAAGTCTTATTCTTCCTGGTAGATGGGTGTTTTCTTCCGGGTTAAATCACTGATGTAATTCTGCAACTATACTTTCAAGCTACAGAGTTCATCAGGTTCCAGGTACTCTATGGAACTACTTGTAATGGAAGGTTGTGTAGGCTAGTTGTTTGGAGATCGACTTTAAATCCAGTTTTACAGTCGCGAGTGGAGTACACAAGTCACTATATCGAGGATGTTTTAGTTAGAATAATGAATGGACTCTGAGACTAAGATTCAATCACAAAAAACTTAAATCATTAAGATACTCGGCTACTTCTAGATAACCAAAAGTATCTTTAAAAAATTTGCTGTTAAAATTGCTAAATTCTTCAGTCTCAGCAGGCAACTGTTCATTAATTAAACTTTCAATGATACTCATTAAATACTTTACTGCAACAAATAGTTTATTCATTAAAACAGCAATTGATAGATGCTCAGACACAGTTTACTTTATCACCATTGAAACAAAAAAAAAGTTAATTAATAAAAGCTCAAATAATTTTTATATTTTGTAAAATCATCCAAAATTGTTTATTAAATATTTTCCAATTTAGTGACAATTATAAAACTCATTTAATAATGAGTAATCATTTTAATCACAAAAGTTTTATTGCTCTATCATACTGTTTTTACAAAACATTTAACAATTTGATATTTGACTATAATAAAATCTCTCTAAATACCAAATTTTTAAAAGAACTGTACATTATTTTTTCTTTATTAAAATACAAACAAAATTAAAAAGTAGTCAAGTTTGTGAAATAAGTATAACACTTAACAATGAGAGAAAAATGCACTAGAAATCAACCTTGTAAGGTAATAATGAAAGTTTTATTCTAAACTTTTTTACAGTTTGATTTTACAGGTATATTTTTCTGTTCCATGGAAGTATTTTGTAATAATATACAAGTTATTTTTATAAGCTCAAAATAAATCTTTTTGTGAGATTCAGGCTATGTTGGCATGGAAACAGTAAAAAACTTCATGTAATGATACAAGTCAAATGTAATCAGCAAATGATCAAGATTTTACAATAATCCCTGACTGTGACAGTATGGATGAATTGAAAAAGATAACTTGATATGTGCTTGCTGATAACTTTAACTAATCAGTGAAAATAATTTTGCAATCTTGTTACAATTAATTTTAGTTTCTCTTAAGTAGTTCAAGTAATGGCACCAGTCTTTTTTTTTATTCTAAAAGGTATAAAAATATTTTATGTATTGTATCCCAGCAAATTAATTACCTTTTATAACTTAAGACCTGCTTTTCAATATTTAAGTAATTAACAAACTTGTACAATTTTCCTGAAGAATGTGTATCTAGGTTAATTTAACAACTAAAACAATCTCCACATGTGCAAAGCTAATAATAAAGAAATTGACTATTTCTTTCATGTGGAATGGCAAAGATAAAACAACCAGAGTTAGACTTAAAAAAAAATATGGAATTCTAAGTCTTAAAGTGATTTAGTTTTAGGAGAAGCTCATCTGCTTCTTCACTGGTCTTCACACGAATCAGAAAAGTGATTGTCTCTGTATTTGATGATTTTATGTCCATAGGAGGATTGGGATTGCAAACGATAAGCACATTATTCTTTCCTACTTTTTTTATTGGCACAGTGGAATTCAGTCTAATATTTAACAAAATGTTATCTGTAATAAGAAAAAAAGATGAGAAAAAAATATCTTGAAACCTTTAATAATTAAAATTAAATTGAGTTTGATAATAAAAATTAACAAAATATATCTAATTATTTAAGTAATAAAACACAAATATATGGAGGCTGGTTACGAAGTCTTGCACCCATGATCAGAGGAAATAAATACACGTCTGTATAAATCTTTAATATACACAATACCAATCAACAACTCATAATCAAGAAAAGGAAAAGCATAAAAACAAACAATAAACACAATATACTTAAATTAATATAATTTTTGTTTAAATATATGTACTTCCTTAAACCACCACTTTCTGAAGTTCCCAAATTGATTTTTGTCACTGGTTTCCAGTCATTACTGGATTGAAGTAATAAAGTTTGCCTAATTAACCTATCATTATGTCAATATCAGCCTGATCACAAAACATCAGACATAAGGATGTAGTAATAATATCAATGTATGTTCAAAGCAAGCTAACTACTTAGTGAAAAACTAAAAATCAACCTGGTAATAATTATAGTGAATTACATATACTGTTCTTACATTCTTACTTATAAGGATTTGAAGGCATTGTTTCATCAGTTGGGTGCCCTTACTATTAGTGATGTTTTCAGCCATAAACCCAATAATGTATCTCACGAGGTTCAGCCAGCTTTAGAAGATATTGTCTTAAATCCATATACTAAGCAAATAATGCAAAACACTTTCTATGATAAAAGTACACTAATAAAGAATTAAAAGTAATGAAACTAGATATGTTAAAAATTCTAACCAATACTGTTAATGAAAGTAACATTAAAGAAACATTGGAGAATTCCTCAATTATATAATATAAAAACACTAACTGTTTGCTTAATGTACTATCATAGATTTAATGTTCTTAGAAGAACATAACATCTGTATAAGGAAAAATGTATAGACTGTTTATCCTAACAATGTTTTGTGGTCAATGAAATCCCATTTAATGGCTCCAAAGGTGCAACTTTAAAGCAGAGTGACATCTGATAAAAATAATGTTTAGCTATTGAGTCAGGTAGCAGGATAGTACACTAAAAACCTAATGTTTATAAAGAAAGAAATTAATAAATAATTATAAATTAAATGAAAAACTTAATCATACATTGAACAGCAAGAATATTGATACTCTAATTAATTAAAATATAAACAAGTTACACACAGTAAAACTAATATATTAACCATAATATGAAATATGTTTAACATCACTTGATAAAGCACATAGAAGTGATGAGTTAAATTCTCAGTAACAGATAAAAATTAAATGTAACAAAATTTGCAAACGTTCATTAATAATAATAATAAGACACGGAAAAGGAAGTATAATGGTAAATATGATAAAGTAATTAGCAAAAATCAATGTAACTTAACTAATGAAATAATGTAGTATCATAAAGGAATTATTATAACTCTAGCATGAATTCTTTGCTGTGAAAAGCCATTCAACAGATCGCATGACTGTTGTTCAGTTGTCAAAGCTGTTGTTATGCATTCCTAACATTTGCATGTACAGCAGCACAACTTTATAGACACCAACTTTTTGTAGCACAGTGAAAACATGTTAATCATAAAAAATTTGCTCAAACCTGTAAAATGTATGAGGACATATATAATGGCACAAGGTTTCACTTACTCACAGATGAAGTCTTATTGCAGAAAAGGACAGTAAGAGTACTAAAACCATAATCAAAGGAGCTGTAAAATTACTTGAGGAATACTGCACTGCACAGAGAATGATTGTGAATGACAACATCAAAAATCATGCTACCACTGCAGGCAAACTTTATGCTGACATTAGAGAGGTGTGTACATTATAGGTTTATTGGTATGATCATATAGTCCTACAAGTTGAAACTGCGTATACCGAGACGCTGAAACAGTTTAATTATAAAATTAGTGAGTGTTTAATCTTGCCTGAATTGAAAATTGGCATATCATATTCATATTTCACTGGGTCCATGGGAAGCTATATTCAAATTTTCAGTTTTGCATTTTACAGTTTTTTAATGGGTGCTTTTTACCACTACCTCGCCTCCTGTTGATGGATCTTCACCAAACTTGGCAGAAAGATTTGTTGAGATACATGCAAAACTGCAGTTTCACATTTTGTGTTTTGCAGTTGTTATGGGTGTTTTTGTGTCTTTTACCATTACATATAAGGGAAGCAACTTTTCAT